CGTCCGCCGGGACCCCCTCGGAGCAGGAGAAGTGAGGAGCGTCCGCCAGGACCCCCTCCGAGCAGGAGAAGTGAGGAGCGTCCGCCGGGACCCCCTCGGAGCAGGAGCGAGGACCTCAGTGGGCAGAGCAGGAGCAGTCCTAACCAGTGTGAGGTTGGGTCATCACACAGCATGGATGATACAGAGGCTGCAGGAGATGGAAAAACTATGGGGACTGTAATAGGCATGGGAGCGAACACAGGGGCTGCAGCTGTGAGAACCTCAGGAGCCAGGAGCAGGAACCGAGGAAGCGCCGGGGGTGTAGCTGGAGGCTCAGAGTCTCTAAAATGACCCTGCAGCTTGTCTTCCAGGAACAGAGCAGTGAGAGTTGGGCTGCCTGCTGGGTCTTGGTTTGGTCTGGTCATTCTGTGATGATTTCTAGGCAAGAGATCCATTTGGTGCAGGCACGCAAGCAGGACTCAGGAAATATAAATAAATGATTTATTATTTACAAAATAAAGATGGCTGACGGGGCAGCAAACTTACATAAATCATGGGACAAGATGCAGGATACGAGGAGCAGGACACAAGGAGCATAACAGGCATCACAGTGACACAATGACCAGACAATGAGGGACGCAGGCAAACAGACATAAATACACACACACTAACGAGACTAACACAGAACACCTGTGAAACATCACAGGTGCAAACATCAGAGGGGAAGCAGACATATATAGAACACTAGAGGGAGACAGAGACCAGAGAAAGCACAACTCCTATACTGGCATCCCCAGAGTCCATCATCAAATGTTTCTTTCTAATAAATAAATTATATCAAAATAAAATGACCCAAGTTGAAAACTTGCTTTTATCTTTTTTGTTCTATTTTCACAAAACACCATTTGCTTTTTGACAACTTTGGACTAATAATACTAATCAAAATAAATCACAGGTTATTCTGTATTTATTTTTTCATGCTAGAGACTATTGAGCTCTAATTGACAGTAACACAACAGGACCTGCAGCTGCAAGTAAGACCCTTAACCTCTTTCCAGAGGAATACGTCCCATTTTGTGTGGTCCTGCTGATATTAGTGACGTTGTGGGACCACACAGATACAGTGTAGAAATCATTGGGTATGTTTACATGGACATAAGTAACCGGATCAAATGGCCAGTCGGAATAAAAGTGTGTCATGTAAACACTCCGTTCGGGTTATTTTTTGTGTATTCAGCGCGATCCGATATAATTTGTGATCAGAACGAAACGGGTGGTTTACGCCGATCCGTAACCCGATTGGTGCGCATGTAAACTCTTGATCTGTTCGTTTTTATCTGATCGTAAAAAACTGACCTGACTGCGCATGTGCGACTTTGCCATTTCCGCCTGGCTAATGCTAATAATGTTAGCATGTCAGGGAAGTAAAACTGGTCGGTGAGCGACACAACATTTCTACTAGAAACTTTTAAAGAGCTCAAAATGATCTGTATTACCTGTAGCTCAGTCAGGGAGTGCAGTAACGTCTCCACCATCATTAAAACCTGTCGCGGGTCCATTTTGGGTGCTCAGGTTTGTTTACGTTCACCCCGGAAGTAGAACTTCTTCTTCGGTGGTTTTTTTAAGGAGAGTTTACCACTCTGCGCATGTCAGTACTGCTGTTCAGAACAAAGCCCGCTGCAGGTAAACGCTCGTCATGAACAGATTGTGCCCATGTAAACAATACAATTGAATTATTCAAACAGAACACATTTCAATCCGGTCAAAGAATTCTGTGCATGTAAACATAGCTATTGTGTCTTAAGACATTAAATCTTAATCTAAAGATTTTCTGTCTTAAATATCCAGGAAATATCTGCCAGTTGCAGCCTGTCGATGACAGAACAAAGTCAAAAGCTCAGCTGGGTGCTTAACACACGTGTACTACTTACATAACAAAGCATACATTGAAAAACCAATAAGCTGATTATTTTCTTCTCTCAGTTTGACCTCTGCTCACTTTCTGAGACACTCCTCCTCTGTTTTTCTCCAAAGCAGAACCACACAAAGTATGTAGGCTTGTGGTACACACAGCGCAGTGGGCAGCCAGGCCAGAGTCCAGTTTTTTTTAGACAAACAGCCATTGAGCACAAACAGGGTCACGGATTCACCAGCAAGAAAAGACCTCCAACCACTGTCTGGCTCATTACAAACCCAGTCTTAGAGAGAAAACAAAAAGAAAGAAAAACAGGTGGAAAAAGAAACTGTCCCCCAATGAATGTGGAGGCTGTGATGAGTAAAAAGAAGAGGGCAGGTGGGGGGAGGGGAGTTGTTGTGGTTTTGTGCAAGCTTTTTTCTAAAAATGAAACCAGTGAATCCAGGCTAGATTCTCAGTCTGTTTGCAGCCTGACTCTGCTTCATTACTGCTCTCTGCCGGTTTCAAAACTGAGGTTTGGTTCCAGAGCTCGTTCACAGAGCTGGGGTTTCATCCATCTGCCAATCTCAGGACTGAACGCCACAGCTGAGAGGCATTAAGCCCTAAATACAGCTCCTCAGCAGCCACAGGCACCATTCACTTTTAGGAATGTTCTGGGAGGACAGATCCATTCTCTTCACCTTTGTACTGGTCTACATCTCTTCCCAAGAGGCCGGTAAGTGGTCTGCTTTTTAATAACTACTGACAATCTTGGTTATAGGATGGCATTTCCTTGCACTTCCGTCAAATACAAAAATAGAACCGTCAGAGCAAGTTTTGGTTTCTACTCACAAGTAAAGCAAGAAATGTTGGAAGACTAATTACAAATTGATTGTTGTGTACAATATTTATATATAATTTTACAGCATTATTATAAATATACTATGTCGTATAAATCTTGGTAGCTTGGTGCTCAGTGTCACAGTTTTTCAACCCGAGGTTGAGGGTACGAGCCCTAACATGATTGTATGTTTAATGACCCCAAGTTGATGGATTGAAAAGGCTCAGACGCAGGTTTACAAAAAGAAGTGTTTGTTTATTTACAGTGCGGGAGTCAGGGACTTTGCAGTGGAAGGAAGTGGGAGACAAGATGAGTATGGCATGTTCAGCATTTTTCAGAACATTGTTTGTAGAATTATCTTACGGTTGTTTGTCTTGCTGCTCGCGTTGGAGAGGGGAAGATACAGGGTCCTGGTCATTCTGACAATGGAGAAGGTTAAGTCCAGAGAGGTGAGTATGAAGCAGTGGGTGGTTTTATTGTGGAAACCTGATATGGATTCAAGCTGAGTAATGGTGTACAGGTTTGTTGATCCAGTCACAGCCAAGGAGCCAGGAAGAAGTCGAGGAGACATGGCAGAGCAAAAATAGGCACACGGGTAAAAATATCAACATGTTAGTCAAAGATTCACAAGTTCAGATTTCAGGCTATCACTCAATTACCCAAGGCAATTAATGCTCCAGCATTGGCTGAACATCTGGCAGAGGTTTAAGTGGTGCAGAGGTACTGGTCAGGAATCAAGTACAGGTGTCATTGGTTGACTATCAGTTGTGGAAGAAGGTGGTTATGGCAGAAGACTAGGAATCCTACAGTGCCCTCCTCTCAAATATTGACTCTTGGTGATCTTTTTTTACCAGGGTGTTCTTTATAAAAGTAGTGATCAGAGTAGGGTCCATGATGAAGGATCAGGTTCAGGTTTGGTTTATTTGTCATCTGCAAAACCAGCACAAGGTCAACAATGCAATTAAATGCTTAGAATGAGAAGAAAGCTCCACTAAGCAGAACAATTTTTCTTTTCCTGAATGGGTTTCATGTAACAAGGTAGTTAGACTGGTGGTAAAAAAAAAAAAAAAAGGGCTGAGTAGTGTGTTACTTATATATTTTGAGTTATTTGTGATGGACCTTCATCACAAAATACAGGTCCTTCTCAAAAAATTAGCATATTGTGATAAAGGTCATTATTTTCCATAATGTAATGATAAAAATGAAACTTCCATATATTTCAGATTCATTGGACACCAACTGAAATATTTCAGGTCTTTAATTGTTTTAATACTGATGATTATGGCATACAGCTCATGAAAACCCAAAATGTCTATCCCAAAAAATTAGCATATTTCATCCCAACAATGAAAACCAGTGTTTTTAATACAAAAAACGCCAACCTTCAAATAATCATGTTCAGTTATGCACTCAATACTTGGTCGGGAATCCTTTTGCATGAATGACTGCTTCAATGCGGCGTGGCATGGAGGCAATCAGCCTGTGGCACTGCTGAGGTGTTATGGAGGCCCAGGATGCTTCGATAGTGGCCTTAAGCTCATCCAGAGTGTTGGGACTTGCGTCTCTCAACTTTCTCTTCACAATATCCCACAGGTTCTCTATGGGGTTCAGGTCAGGAGAGTTGGCAGGCCAATTGAGCACAGTAATACCATGGTCAGTAAACCATTTACCAGTGGTTTTGGCACTGTGAGCAGGTGCCAGGTTGTGCTGAAAAATGAAATCTTCATCTCCATAAAGCTTTTCAGCAGATGGAAGCATGAAGTGCTCCAAAATCTCCTGATAGCTAGCTGCATTGACCCTGGGCTTGATAAAACACAGTGGACCAACACCAGCAGCTGACATGGCACCCCAGTGACTGTGGAAACTTGACACTGGACCTCAAGCAATGTGAATTCTGTGGCTCCTCTTGTGTCTCCTCTTTTCCTCCAGACTCTGGGACCTTGATTTCCAAAGGAAATGCAAAATTTACTGTAATCAGAGAACATAACTTTGGACCACTCAGCAGCAGTCCCAGGCGAGATGCTTCTGACGCAGTCTCTTGTTCAAGAGTGGCTTGACCTGGGGAATGCAGCACCTGTAGCCCATTTCCTACACACGCCTGTGCACCGTGGCTCTGGATGTTTCTACTCCAGACTCAGTCCACTGCTTCCGCAGGTCCCCCAAGGTCTGGAATCGGGCCTTCTCCACAATCCTCCTCAGGGTCCGGTCACCTCTTCTCGTTGTGCAGCATTTTCGGCCACACTTTTCCCATCCCACAGACTTCCCACTGAGGTGCCTTGATACAGCACTCTGGGAACAGCCTATTCGTTCAGCAATTTCTTTCTGTGTCTTACCCTCTTGCTTGAGAGGGTCAATGATGGCCTTCTGGACAGCAGTCAGGTCGGCAGTCTTACCCATGATTGTGGTTTTGAGTAATGAACAAGGCTGGGAGTTTTTAAAAGCCTCAGGAATCTTTTGCAGGTGTTTAGAGTTACGTCGTTGATTCAGATGGTTAGGTTAATAGCTTGTTTAGAGAACCTTTTCATGATATGCTCATTTTTTGGGACAGGCATTTTGTGTTTTCATGAGCTGTATGCCATAATCATCAGTATTAAAACAATTAAAGACCTGAAATATTTCAGTTGGTGTGCAATGAATCTGAAATATATGAAAGTTTCATTTTTATCATTACATTATGGAAAATAATGACCTTTATCACAATATGCTAATTTTTTGAGAAGGACCTGTATTATGAGAAAAAACATTTACCTTTGAGCTGCAGCTGGTGCATTAATCAGAGCTTCTCCCACTTTTCTTATTTCATGGTGGAGTTGTGGCACAGCTTTATTAATTAAAGCTACATAAAGGAATAACATATGTTGGGTCCAGCGTATTAAAAATAAACCTAAACCCCTTGCCTTTGACTGAGTTGTTTGCTCGTAAATTCTTTGTAATATAGCAGAAGGTGGGAAATCTTCACAGCCTTGCTTGGGGAATTAGCCTGAAGTTTGTTGCAGAACTGGTCTGCTGCTTCGCTTTTCATCTACCTTCCACGCATCCATTCATCCATCCATTCATTATCTTTTACCCGTTTCTTCCATTTTGGATCACAGGGTTCGCCGGTGCCTATGTCCAGCAATCACTGTGCGAGAGCAAGGGTACACCCTGGACAGGTCTCAAGTCCATCACAGGAACACATAGAGACAAACAAAACAAACAACCATTCACTCTCTCACATAGGGACAATTTAGAGTTACCAATCAAACTAGCATGCATGTTTCTGGTCTGTGGGAGGAAACCGGAGTACCCGGAGAAAACCCACGCATGCACGGAGAGAACATGCAAACTCCACACAAAAAGGCCTCTGGACCGGGGTTTGAACCGAGGACATGCTCACTGAGAGGTAGTAGCTCTACCAGTTGCACCACCGTGCTGCCCCGCGCATTTGTTGTATTTCCAAAATACAGTACTGCATTTTTATTTTACACTTCTTGCAAACAACCATGCTCTTGTCAAGCTCTGCCTTCTCCAGAACATTGTACAATCCAAAATTACTTTACACTGACTTTTAACGATGAAGGAATGGTTGAATCGTGCTGTCCACTGCTCCATGTGTCTGATGCATCTATCTCGTCAATGAACTGTTGGTGGGGGTCTGGATGGGACAGGAATGGAGCCGATGAGAAGAGGCATTTTAGTTACTGGAAAGCATTCTCTGCCTCTGAGAACTTTATATATTTATCCACCAAATATATAAAGTTCACACGAGAAGATGTAAAAAATGGCAGGCTGGCATTCTTGGACTGTGAGGTCTCAGTTTCTGATAGAGGACATTTGCAAATTGAGGTGTACCGCAAACCCTCCCACACAGACCAGTATTTGAAGTTTGACTCCCATCACCCTTTGCAGCACAAGTTAGGAGTCATCGGGACTCTGTACCACAGAGCAGACAGCGTCCCCACTAACTCAGGAGCCAGGCAGAAAGAGAAATCCCACACAAGACAGGCTATAGAGAAATGTGGATATCCTAACTGGGCCTTACTGAAAGCAGAGAAGAAACCCAAACAGGACTCCAGTCAGTCATCAGGTGAAAAGGAGGAGCCCAGACCCAGACCAGTGGTCATTCCGTATGTTGCGGGAGTATCAGAGAAACTGAGACGTTTATTTTCTAAACATAACGTCCCAGTGGCTTTTAAACCCCAACATGCATTATGGCAAAGACTGGTTCATCCCAAAGATATATTCCCCCGACACAAACAGAGTAATATTGTGTATGCTGTTCAGTGTCAGGAGGGTGATCGGTCTTACATCGGGGAAAATAAACAGCCACTGGCCAAAAGGATGGCCCAGCACAGAAGATCAACATCATCAGGCCAGGATTCTGAGGTCTACACTCATTTCAAGGCCAGCGGTCATTCAGGGATGAAGATGTTCACATCCTTGATAGAGAGGAACGATGGTTTGAGAGAGGAGTAAAGGAGGCCATCTTTGCAAAAAGAAACCATCCATCATTAAACAGGGGTGGAGGCCTCCATGTTCAACTGTCCCCCTCTTACAATGGTGTTATTGCTAGTGTCACTCAGCCCCCTGAGAATAGCAAACAGCCATCAGGGTACTAACGATCCATTGTTAGGCTGATGGTCCTCCTTGATCATGTGAGCAGCTGGTTTTGGTTGTCAGCAGCAAACTGGTTGATCCACTCTGAGACGGTGCTATTTAAGAGACTGAGCTGAATACAGTACCTCAGACTGAGGAAATCTTTCAGATGAAAGACGAAACATTTCTACAACTTTTTTTTCTGTTTGTTTATTTGTTTGTTTTGTTTTTTGAATGTCCAGAGGACCAGACTTAACTTTTTTAGATTTTTCTACGTGGATCATTGAGCATGCATCAGGATGTTTTGTTTGGTGTTTCCT